CCGATGCCAGCTTTGCATCAAGATGGACAAACATTCCTGAATCACGAAGGACTTCAACAGTTTGACCTGGGATCCAAGTTGCCTCAATCCACTCAAATGCCTTTTCGGGTTGGTCGGAAGTAGCAACAACAGCATCCCTAACTTTGATCCTCCAATTACGGTACTGTTCGGGCTTCGGGAATCGGGGAATCTGAATTCTGTCACCCTCCTTTACACGAACGCGTTCCGCTGTCGGATCGCTCGAATTACCTAAGTGCTTCAGTAGCTTTCGTCGAAAGGATTCATCCGATGCAGTAGAAGTTGATGACGAAGATGACGAGGGAGAAGATGATGGATCTCGTCGCCGGCGTCGGCTACGGTCCTTCTTCTTTTTCTTCTTCTTCTTCTTTTTCTTGTCCTTGTCATTTCCACCATCACCGTCATCGCAAGGCCAACCGTCTCCGGTAGCAGCATCGTCCACGGCCCCGGCGGGAACGGATCCGTCTTTGCCGTAGGGGTCGCTCCCGACCTTCGTCCAACTGTGCGAGGAAGCATTCGAAAGTCCGGGTGGAGATGCAGCCAAAGGAACGGTCGGGATAGCCAAGGGGGTAGCTGGTGCCTGCTGAACGGGAGGCGCAGGGGCCGGAGCAGGTTGAGCAGGCGGTTGCTGCTGATTTTGCCTCATCTGCTCGACCATAGCCCTTAGCTCCCTGATCTGCTTCTCCTGCTCGCTGATCGTGTTCATGGCGTTTTGGTACTTCATCTCGGCTTCTCTTTCCGATTTCATGGTGTTCACACGCTGCTCCGCATTCATTTGAATCTCGCGTCTCATGGCCTCCGATTGGCTTTGAAGTCCGGCAATAATCTCACCATGCCTTGCCTCCGCCATCTGGGCGACCATGGGACCGGTGTCCTGATTCACGAACTGGTTGAATTGGGCATTGTTCTGGGTAGCGTTGATCTGCTGATAGTTCGTCACGTCCTGGTTGATCGTCATCGAAGGATCGAGGTGGACGTTTGCAACATGTTGGTTGAACTGATTCATGGGCTGTGGCATAGGGTTTCCCCTTGCGAGATCGGTCTGGGGGTCGTACATGACGATGTCACCATGCCGATGCCGATCTGATCCAACAGGTGAAGGAGATCGAGCACCAGACCGCCCAGTCCTCCCACGGTCACTCCGAGATCGAAGTGATTCGGGGCCCTGACTGCTCAGCGCCTGTCCCTTCCTGATGAGCTCCCTGGCCACTTGGGAGTTTGCTCGACTAGTCGGTTCATATTGCGAGGCGTCTTCATCGCCTGCTGGCTCATCAGGTGTGGGACGCACCTCGGTATGGGGTAGTCCAGGGTCGCCATCCATGGCGTACAACTCTGTACAAAGAGCCGCTTACGGCTGATAACCTATAGAACAGGTTAAACAACCGGGAAGGGTCACAAATGAACCCTGTACTCAGCGCGCTTTTTCCTTGAGCCATACGCAGTCGTAATGATGAGACTGCGCAAGTGAGACATTCATGCATTGGGGTTTTACATGGTTGATAAATGCATCACGTTACAAACTACAAAAACATAAAAAAGAAACCTTTTTTGGGGGAAGACCATTTTGTCTAGTGGGGCAGCCACTAAAAAAATGAAAAATAATTGGTGCCACTGAACAGCTGAGGTTCCACTTGTACTTGGAGAACCCGGCCGAGGCCGTCATCATCGCCACATAGCCCACGATGCCCAAAGTCAGCGCGCGCCAAAAGAGGATGATGGGCGGCAGGATGTAGAGACTCGGACAGTCCAGGATGCACTTGCAGGACCTCAGTCGCACAACCTCCATTTGCGTTTTCGTCCCCTGGGAGGGGGAAAAAAAAACGAAAAATATGTCCAGTAGTGATAGGTTCCCTTTAAACCAACAGGGGAAAACAAAAAAATATATTAACCAAATGGAAGAATGACCAGGGCTGTGGGAAATGGAATCCACTTCTGTGATACAACGGGGGCCTCCCAAAGACTAATCCCCCATAATAAAAAAAGGGATTCCCTTGTATCACAGAAGTGGGGATAAACCCCTTGATCCCACAACCCTGCACAATTCTGACCCAGAAATACTAGACGACGGGTGGCCGTGAACCAACAGTTGCTACGCATCTAAAGTCTGAGGCCTCCCCACCTGATGCTGCGCTCTCTTTCTTTCTTGGGCCCAGGGGTGCTTGTACATGGAAGGGTATGTGCTTCCACCCTTAGATTGGGGCTGCGCGATCTTGGAGAAAGCGCGCCTACCTATAAGGCAAGATTCAGGTTGCTCAGGACAGGGAAGCACTGCGTGCGCTGGATATCAATCGCGGGATGTTGACATCCCGAGCGCGCCCTATCCCACAAAGCGCTTGCTGCTCTGCTTCGGTCTCAAACGCTTTCCGGGTTAACAAGGCGTCCAGCTTGCATCAATCGGAAGGCAAGGCATGCCAAGACCAGACAAACGCAATCAACATAATCATCTATGCGTGCCAGTATGCTCCGACTGTCCGGCACCCAACTCTGGCTTTTGTCAAGCGAGCAAGCAAGCAGGCAGGCAGGCAGGCAGGCAGGCAGGCAGGCAGGCAGGAGGAAGGCCGGATTTGCCGGCGCAAGCCAAAAGCCGAAAAGGGCATCGCAGCGTGCGAACGCTAGCAGATTGAACAACCCACATCTAGCTGCTGGTTTGGTTTGAGATTCTTTGCTTAGTTGTTAACCCATCTCAAACGTTCAAACCAGCAGGGCTAAAGTCGGAGTGTGCTGCTCAGCATAATGTTGATCCCATACTCATCAACCCCCTCCTTATTAGGGGGATGTCCCCGATCGAAATGTGGGGAATCAGATCACTTGAGGGGCCAAAAGCCTCCCCCATATGAACAAACAGGCGTTGATTCCGGGGTCATTGCCAACGTGTCCGGAGCCGGCCGCTTTCCCGCTCACGCGACGCCTGGCTCGGCGGCTCGCTCCTTTTTCGGGGTTCGGGGTCCGGGGCCAAAGCCGACGAGCTGGAGCTGGGAGAGGGGAGGAGGGGTGAGCCTGAAGCAATTTCCTGGCATGAGCCATGGCGGCCTACAGCTTCTAGGCTCCGGGACCTGAAGTAACGCCCGAGTTGGCAGATGTTTGCCCAAAGATCGCGGCAGTGGACGGAGTCGCAGGCTGCCAGAAACTAAGGTGATCAGCATAGGGGGCCCGAGAGACGACAACAAAAGAATGGATTGATTCAGTTGTGTGCGGGTTTTAAATTTATATATATATATATATACATATATATATATAGATATATAATTTATTCAAGTCCTGCAGAAACGCCAGAAAAGTGCTCATAGAGCCAAGAGGTCCGGAGGTCGAATGATTGCAGGCGAGGGGCCACTGGATGCACTGCACCGCCGTCTCCATCCAGGCGCTCATCTGGCAGCCCAGGCACAGGAAGAAGGCCCCCAGCACCAGAAGCCCTGAGGCGGCCAGGTTGTCCTCCCCGGGCTCGCTGTCGCCGCACATGTTGCTGGCTCCTGGTATTCAGCAACACCCCCTTCCTTCATGGAATTGGGGGAGGGGGTGGCGTGATTTCTGGAGATCTCCACTTATGGTGGACATATTTTCCCTTTTGTGGGCTTGGGGAAGGATCTCCTGGCGCGTCCGCCCGGGCGCACCAGAACAAATAGGCGGAGGTGACCATGGTGCCCAGGATCACCGTCAAGACCCCGCTGAGCACGATGCCTGTGACGTTGGGTTTGGGGAGCAAAAAAATCCAAACAAAGGCGATTAAATGCGGTTAAGTGGTTGGATTCCAGCCACTAAACCACAACAAGCGAAAAAGAAAAAAAAGTAGCAAACTGAAATTCTAGCAATTTGGTGGATTTGGATTTCAACCACTCAACCACAATCAGCAAAAAAATGAAACAACATGTTGCCCAACAACAACCATGATGCAGTTGGCACAAAAACTGAGAGCTGCGATGTAGAGGTAGGAGCACGCCAGTGCCACCACTCCCGACCATAACAAGGTTTGCCAGGAGCGGTACATCATGGAAATGCTGGCCACTGGCGGGGCATGCAACAGGAAGTCCTGAAACTGATCGTAGATGGACTGGGTGAACACCCGCGACGGTCTGCACAACAAGGTGATGTAAGGCTGCGTGGGGTAGTCTTGGACCCATGCATAAGTTTGATTTAATGGCAGCCAACATCGACTACTCGTGTTGTAGGTGCCCGGGCAAATGCCCACGCAAATGGGGTTGGCCATATCAAGCCTCTTCCTGTTGCCCTGAAACTCCCACTCACTGCTCTGTTGCATGCAGAAGTAGAGGAAAGGCTTGTCCCGGTTCAGGCCGTGACCACACAGGTTTCCGTTGAGGTCGGGCAACGTAAAGAGTCTAGTAAGGTCTCCCTCGCGCACCGCGTCTCTGGTCACGACGGCGAAACCTGCTAGAAGAATCACAAAGGGGATGATCCAGCACCAATCGGTGCATTCTCTGGGCACCGAGGCTGGGTCATAGCCCTTGTCGTCGGGGTCCTTGGAAGCAATGCGGGGGGTCTTCACGTCCATGTTGTCCTCATCACTGGTCTGCGCATCCTGCAAGGAGGAGGGCAAGGCTGCCATGGCCTCCTTTTGTTGGGGCGTGATGGAGGGAAGGGTTTGCAGCCCCACTCCCACCAATCCATTGGGCGCGGTGCCGGTCCGGGTGGGCACACGCACCGCAGCCGCTCGAGGCGCCACCCGCTGGCCCGGCGCCGCCCCCGCACCCGCGCTCGCCACCGGCGAGATCGCCCGGGCGCTCGGCTGCATGGGTCTCGACATGCCGTGCACGGCCCCTGGCGAGCCGAAAGGCGAAAGGCGACGAGAAACGTGCATCCCAAAAGGGCAGCCACAGGTTGCGGCCGCGCCGGGCCCCCAAAAAAACCGCAAGAAAGAGAAACTTAAGTAGAACATCTCCAAACCACCCAGCAACGGCTTGAGATTCCCACTCTTTCTTCGATTCTCATGGCCACAAAACGCATATTTCACTTCTCAGGTCGCCGGCCGGAAGATGGCCCCGTCGCGGGGCTGCGGCGCCTCGAAGGCTCAGTCAGGCGGCTCAGTCAGCTGGGTTTCTGAAGGCTTTCTGTTCTCAGCTTCCCTCAGGAATTGGTGGTTTGGAGCGGCTATGAGCGGCTCAAGTCCAACCAGACCAATCCAAACACCCAAGGGATTACCTGATGTTCAGTGCTCGACTTTGACGAAAAAGCCAATCGTCCTGCTAGAAGATCGGGAACCTTTGCCGTGCCAGGGGTGTATTCCGGGAAAGTGGCGCAAAAAGAGCGGGATGCTCGGTGCTTGACTCATGAAAGGTCTGAGGGTGCCCATCTGCGGATTCCAGAAAGCCCCCACTTGGGCATGGTCCTTTTTTGGATCACTAAAATGGCGGTTGTCCTTCTCGTTCTTCCTTGAAAACCACCAGGAGGCGTACTCTCAGAAGCTTGCTTTACGAGGCGGGCCTTCCACCCAACTTCCGCAAAGTCCGGCACCTGCACGCGACACCCAACAAAAATCGGCTCGCGAAAAGAAACGAAGAGGGAAGACACATCGCTACGGACCCGGGGGACTTTGAGATTGCAAGCTCGCCAGGGCGCGGCCAACAAAAAGGCAACAGGCAAACCACACACAAACCGCCAAACCCTGCCTGCGCACCCGGACGCGGAGCCAACGGCTCGACGCCTGCAAGGCATTCGCAAACCGCCCACGTCGCCCATCGTTGCCCTTTCTCTCCATGGGCTTCTCTGAGGCATAACCGCCTCAAGTTCCATTTGACCTCCGCACCTACAGCAACCTGGCCAGACACCATGCCAACACCGTCCCCACGGGCATGCCACATCGCTTCCACGTCCCGACCCAGCCAAGCCTGTCCATCTTTGGGGCTCCTCGCGGACGTTCGCAAATTCCTGGCCCGGCCCGCCCATGAACTACACTGCAGAATTCCATTTTAATCAACGACTGGCTGCGACAGCGGGCCATTGGGCGACGCATGGGGCCAGAACAAACTGCAGGAGGCAACCACACTGCCATATTTGTGGCTCATGCCTGCACCCAGTTACCCAACAAGCTTGCAACGATGAAGGCAAAGAAAAGCAACGCCAAGAGTTAAGTCTGGACTAACACCTGATATCAAAGAAGTCCACCCAAGACCATGCAAGGATCTACATAGGATCTATAAAGTGCTGCTGCCCCCAATCTTATCTCGGTTGCTGCCGCTAGCCTCCAGTGGCGTTTTCTTTTTCAGCTCACACTACCCAAATCCAAACCCTGCCTGCGCACCCGGACGCGGAGCCAAGGGCTCGACGCCTGCAAGGCACTTGCAAACCGCTGACGCTTCGATCGTTGCCCCTTTCTCTCCATTCTAGGGGCTGGTTCCCAATTCTTTTCAACCATCTTTCTATTCAAAAACCAGCTTGTTCCTTGGGTTCTGATGGCTTCCTGCAAAGAAGGATCCCAGGAAAGAATGGGGAAGGTAGCCCGAGATACATGGGCTCGTCTGAGGCAAAACCGCCTCAAGTTCCATTTCACCTCCGCACCTAGCCAAACACCAAGCCAACAGCATCCCCACGGGCATGCCACATCGCTTCCACGTCCCGACCCGCCGACCGCCTGTCCATCTTTGGGGCTCCTCGCGGACGTTCCCAAATTCCTGGCCCGGCCCGCCCATGAACTACACTGCAGAATTCCATTTTAATCAACGACTGGCTGCGACAGCGGGCCATTGGGCGACGCATGGGGCCAGAACAAACTGCAGGAGGCAACCACACTGCCATATTTGTGGCTCATGCCTGCACCCAGTTACCCAACAAGCTTGCAACGATGAAGGCACAGACAAGCAACGCCAAGAGGCAAGTCTGGACCAACACCTTCAGCTCACGCTACCCACATCCAAACCCTGCCTGCGCACCCGGACGCGGAGCCAGCGGCTCAACGCCTGCAAGGCATTCGCAAACCGCCCACGTCGCCCATCATTGTTGCCCTTTCTTTTGATGGGCTCCTCTGAGGCATAACCACCTCAAGTTCCATTCGACCTCCGCACCTACAGCAACCTGAAAAGACCCCATGCCAACACCGTCCCCATGCTGGCAACACATCGCTTCCACGTCCCGACCC